CCCCAAAACCCCAAAACCCCAAAACCCCAAAACCCCAAAACCCCAAAACCCCAAAACTACATTTCAAGTTGAACCAATAATATTTTTATCAAGATAGACTATTTGATTAGATCTGAAAAATTATAGATGCTTTCAGTTATTTTGGCTGGCTCACCGAAAACAGATATGTACATACAATGGGGGCTATCCTCTCCTAGGATGTGCTTCATAGCTATTTGGTCAATCCTGTCTCTTCCTGCAACTCATGCGTTTATTATAACTGTTCTTGAAGCTTTCAGAGCAAAGGTTTGGGAGAATATTTCAGAAATTTCATTGAGAGACAAATCTGCAGTTGAAGGATCTAAATTTTATTTGATTTTTAATACCATCTTCGAAATTTTCCCCACAATAAATCATCTGGGCTGTAGCATTTGCTTTGGTTGATGAGAGAAACAAAGTGGTTCCGAGGAGTCGACTCTCTTTTGGAGCCAAACTCACAATATCGTCTGAACTTGCCTCACTCTCTGCTGGATTTCATAGGATTTTTATCCTAGCGCCTTCTAGAGAAATGATTAATTTCAGGAAATCTTATTTAAGTAAAAAAGTTTGAGACATTGTTTGTCTGTAATTCGTCAGAACGATACTGACAAAATTGATAAATTTTGTAGCAGATGGCCCAGAATGACATCCTTACCTATTTCAGTAGGCTCAATGTCAAAATGCTCGGAAATTTTATCGAAAATAGAGGAGATCAGTCTTGGATATCCTGTTACGAGATGATTCCGGGATGCTGCATTTGCGTATTCAAACTTCTGTGTACATTCCTTGGTAACTATAATTAACCAAATTTTGGGTACAGCTAATTGTGGTCGATCTGAGAGGCTTCTCTGCAGCCAAATTGGTTCCGAAAGATCTGATTAAGCTCGTTTTTGGCTTTTCAATAGGTATTTTTGACATACTGGTGGAGTTTATCCTCTTAGGAAGTTTAAAGTATCTTCTTTGAGTACTAGATGCTGATTATTTTGGAGAATATAGGATAAGAGTAAATAGTATTTAAAGGAAATCAATATCTTTGACATTAAGAAAGGAAAGAGTTTCTTCAAGAAATTTACCTCATCGTAACTCAACTTCCAAACATCATCTTCTTCGCCTAAAACGCATCAAAACCATCTCCAGGCCACTCTAAACTCTTAAAACACCTCTAAACCTCCCCAGCTCAACTCAAAACCTTAATTCACCCTCTCTTCCTTCTATCCCTTACCCAACTTACCCCAAACATTCATCTCCCTTTCTTAAAAATCCCTTGTGTTATCATTCCTCTTTCTGGGTTTCAATATTTTATAAATTCACCGGGGTTTTGGGGTTTTGGGGTTTTGGGGTTTTGGGG